TAGGAAAGGTCCAAGGGAGGAATGGGAACTATTAAAACATCTACCTAAAGGTGTTATTCCACGTGTGGCTTAGGGCCCTACCACACAGTCATATACCCAGAATATCAAGGCAGAAAATCCCACAATCATAGAATCGTAGAGTTGTAAGAGACCTCATGGACCATCCAGTACAATCCCCTGCCAAGAAGCAGGAGAATCGCATTCAAAGCACCCCTGACAGATGGCCATCCGGCCTCTGTTTAAAGCTTCCAAAGAAGGAGCCCTCACCACACTCCTGGGCAGAAAGTTCCACTATCAATATCTGCTTTGAACTAAGTTACCTGAATCTACACTGCCATATATTCCAGTTCAAAGCAGATAATGTGGGATTTTATTCAGATGCTGCTTTTACCCTCGGATGGGCCTTTGCTCCTAGGTATAGGAAGAGTAACCGAGTTGAATTGGTCCTCTTTTCCAGCCTCAACCTCCTCTTCTGGAGATGTCTCCTTGGGCTCCTATGCAGAGAAGCAAAAAAATCAAGACAAAGAGAGGTAGGACAAGAAGCTGGATGGGAGTCTAGTCTGGAAGAGAAAGTGCATGTCCAGTGGAGAAGAAACATCTAAGGGAGATCCACGCAAAAGAGATGATCGCGGGTAGAAGGGGCAGCACCTCAGCTGGCGCTAACAGGACAGCCCCCAAGAACAATCTGGCCCCACACATACTGGAGTCCATCCAGGCCTTCCATCCCCTGGGGAAGAAGCTCCAAGGCCTCCCTGCAAAGGCGACCCTCCAAGACAGGAGACTACCTGGAGGCATCTCAGAGCAACTGCTGCCCTCCAAGGCCATCATGGGCAGGAGATTGGGGAAGCTGCTGCCCCAATTCCCCAGACCTCCACCTCCATCTTGGCAGCAGCCTCTCCCAGTCAACATTGAGGACTCTGCAATGCCAGCCCACCCTTGGACTTATAGTGGGCTGGAAGGTATTTCAAGCCTTCTCCAAAGTTGTGGTTCTCCTTCTCATAACTACTGTGGCAGCAGAGAGGACATCAAGACCCACCAGCAAACCAGGCCCACCTTCTCGTCCCAGGAGAGAGGACACCCACATTTTGGAATTGAGGTCTCCCAGCCCATCTCAGGGGAGCAGCGGCCCACGCGGGAGTGCCAGGCCCCGAAGGACAGGGAGGAGGAGACCCTGAGCAGGGCCCTTTTGTTTGCATAGAGGGAGGCAGACCTGAGGGACACCGACCATTACAGCTACCCCAATAGGAACTTTAAAGATGGATGTATCAATTAGTGTTAGCAAATTGAATCTGATTCTATCTAGTTTTTAATATCATTTATATGCAATGTATTATAGTGTATTTTAATGGGATTTTAACAGGCATGGTTTGAATACTTTCTATTGTTGTATTGCATATAGTTCTTTGTTGTTTGTATGTTTCTGTTGTTTTGTATTGGATTTAAACGTTTTATGGGGTTGGCCTATGGTTAAAGTGTTAATGAACAGTGTTATTAAAGATCCAGTAGTTTTCTTTAGAGTAATAATCCTGAATCTTCCTCTCATTTTAGCATTTTTAAATCACATTTAAGAACTTAGCTGCTCCATGTTGGGAACAAAAAACTCACTCCTTTGAAGGAAACGCCTTTTGTGTGGTTTATTTGTGCAAAACAAGTTGTTTGGGGTTTTGCTGCAGAAAAAGCAACATGTTCAGGAACACTTTGGGACCTTCAGATATTGGGAGGTGGGGAATTACTTCCTCGTAATTGCAATAAATAGTTGTTTGGATGAGTGGAGGCTTAAGGGAAAATTGAAGGTTATGAAAAAAGAGCACTCTTCTCTCATTTGCACTTTACTATGAGGCTGAGACAGTGTGGCCTGCTGAACGATGCGCCATGTCTTCCTATGGCAAAGGGGATTTGAACTCCAGGCTCCTCTGCAATGTCTTGGGGATGATGGGGACTGGTCCAATACACTGGAAAAGCTGAGGAAGACCATCCTGACCTTCCTCTGAGGCTGAGAGTATCTCCAACCAATGTCCCCCATTGGGTTTCCATGGGAGAGACATAGGGCCCTTCCACACAGCCCTATATCCCACATAAATCCCACATTATCTGAGTATGGACTCAGATAACCCAGTTCAAAGCAGATGATCTTGGATTTTCTGCCTTGATATTCTGGGATATAGGTCTGTGTGGAAGGGCCCAAAGAGCAGCACCATTCTACTTCTTTTGCTTTATGAGAGGTCAATGGGAAGAAAGAAACACAGATTCAATTATGAGGGAATATAGGAGTTGTAGTCCAGCGTCTTGAAGGCCACATAAATGACATGTTGGGCCGGATTTGAAACACAGGACTTGAGTTTGACACATGTGGTCCAGAGGGCAAAAATTATCAATGAGGAAAAAAACACACAAACTAGGAGATGTTGCAGTGGTTTGCTTTATAAAAGTGAACTGGGAAGGGCAAGATTTAGTGCTCCCAGTTAACGACTTTTCTGCCCTGAATCCAGGGCCCTTCCTCATAACCTGTGACCGTCTGGATGAGGGTGGACAAACTGAAGTTGAATCCTGACAAGACAGAGGTCCTCCTGGTCAGTCGCAAGGCCGAACAGGGTATAGGGTTACAGCCTGTGCTGGATGGGGTTACACTCCCCTTGAAGGCATAGGTTCGCAGCTTGGGAGTTCTCTTGGACTCATTGCTGAGCCTGGATCCTCAGGTTGCAGTGGTGGCAAGCGGGGCTTTTGCACAATTAAAACTTGTGCGCCCGTTGCGCCCGTACCTTGGGAAGTCAGACTTGGCCACAGTGGTCTACCCTCTCGTTACATCCAGGATAGACTACTGCACCACTCTCTACGTGGGGTTGCCTTTGAAGACGGTTCGGAAGCTTCAAATACTCCAATGAGAGGCATCCAGGTTAATAACTGGGGCAGCATACAGGGAGTACACAACTCCCATGTTGCGTCAGCTCCACTGGCTGCCAGTTTGCTACCAGGCAAACTGTAATACAGGACTTGAGTTTGACAAATGTGGTCCAGAGGGTAAAAATTAGTGAGGAAAAAAACAAAGTGCAATTCAAAGTGCTGGCTTTGATCTAGAAAGCCCTAAACGTTCCTGGCCCAGTTTACCTGTCTAAACGCATCTCCCTTTACGAACCACTGCTGAAACTAAAATATTCTGGGGAAGCCCTGCTCTTGATCCTGCCACCATCACAGGCGTGTTTGGTGGGGACAAAAGACAGGGCCTTCTCAGTGATTGCCCCCTGGTTATGGAACTCCCTTCCTAGCAATATTAGATCAGCCCCCTCCATCCTGTCCTTCAGAAGAATGGTGGAAACCTGGCTGTGGGACTAAGCCTTTGGGGTAGTGCAATGAGGCCTGGAGCCCCCGGTGGTGCAGTGGGTTAAACCCTTCTGCCGGCAGGACTGAAGACCAACAGGTTGCAGGTTCAAATTTGGGTAGAGCGCGGATGAGCTCCCTCTATCAGCTCCAGCTCCTCATGTGTGGACACGAGAGAAGCCTCCCTCAAGGATGATAAAACAAAAACATCTGGGCGTCCCCTGGGCAACGTCCTAGCAGATGGCCAATTCTCTCACACCAGAAGTGACTTGCAATTTCTCAAGTCACTCCTGTCACGACAAAAAAAAATGCAATGAGGCAAAATGGTGTCCTAAGATGGTTTTTAAGCAACTTTTAACGTGAATAAAAGTGATTTCAATGTTTGTATATATTTATGGTTTTATGTCCCGGCATTGAATGTTGCCGTATATATGTTATGCTCCGCCCTAAGTCCCCTGCAGGGTGAGAAGGGTGGAACATAAATGTGTTAAATAAATAAATAACCCTATATCACAGAATATAAGGCAGAAAATCCCACAATATCTGCTTTGAGCTGGGTTATCAAAGTCCACACTGCCAAAGCAGAAAATGTGGAATTTTATTCAGCTATGTAGAAGGAAGCTGAGTTTGCAACAAGTTAAGTAAGCTGAGGACAAAGAGGGAAGGTGGGAGGAGAAGAGAGTAACTGGGGCATTTTAAAGGCTGCTGAAAATATGGGCAGGCAGACAAATAAATCAGCACTCTTCCTGCCAAATTGGGACAGATAAATGGTATGAGCCCCCGGTGGCGCAGTGGGTTAAAGCACTGAGCTGCTGAGCTTGTTGATCGAAAAGTCGCAGGTTCGATTCCGGGGAGCGGCGTGAGCTTCCGCTGTCAGCCCTAGCTTCTGCCAACCTAGCAGTTCGAAAACATGCAAATGTGAGTAGATCAATAGGTACCGCTCTGGCGGGAAGGTAACGGCGCTCCATGCAGTCATGTCGGCCACATGACCTTGGAGGTGTCTACGGACAACGCTGGCTCTTCGGCTTAGAAATGGAGATGAGCACCACACCCCAGAGTCAGACATGACTGGACTTAATGTCAGGGGACTACCTTTACCTTTACCTAAATGGTATGACAGTTCTGTCAACGGTTATAGTATCACACCATGAAAACTAAGGGTGCATTTACCGTCGAATTGATGGTTTGATACCACTTTGACTGCCATAGCTCAATGTGGTGGGATCCTGGGAGTTGTAGTTTGGAGAGACAACAGTATTTTTTGCCCTTGCAAAACTATAACCCCCATGATTCTACAACACTGGAACCTTGCATTTGGACGTGGTGTCAAACCGCATCAATTCTACACTGTAGATGGACCCCGGGAGATCAAGATGAGTGGTAGGCCCTTTGTATACTGCCATATAATCCACATGATCTGCTTTGAACTGGATTATATGGCAGTGTAGACTCAAATTATCAAACAATATTGAGAATTTGATAATCTGAATTATATGGCAGTGTAGAAGGGGCCATTCTGGGAGTTGAAGTCCCCCCAAGCCTGGCAAGCATGTGGCAACAGAAGGACAGCATGCATTTCAGTCCAAGAACCCTCCCCACTCTTTACAGCAGGAGTGGCTCCTTGGCCTTTCTCAGCTGGAGAGGAAGGAGAGAGGGTTTGAACTACTGCTCCCAGCGTGCCTTGCGGAAGCATCTGGAGGTCAAAGGTAGAACTCAAGATGGCGGCGGAGGTGCAGCAGGAGGAAGCCAACGCCGCCGAGGCGGTGAAGTCCTTCAAGGAGCTGGTGAGAGAGTCGCCTCTTTCTTCTTTAACAGCCGGTTGTTTTTCTCTTCCTCCTCCCCGTCTTTGGTCGCTTTATCTTCCTCTCTGGAGTGGCAAAAAGGGCATAGCTGCCCCGGATTTATTCTCTTGAGTCCACACGTGTTCTCTGCTGGACCCCTTTGCAGCCACACCAGGCGAACTTAGGCCCTCTAGATGTTTTGGACTTTAACTCCCACAATTCCCAAGAACCGGGAGGCTGTTAGGAATTGTGGGAATTGAAGTCCAAAAGACCAGGAGGGCCGAAGTTTGCCCATGCCTGATCTACACTGTAGAATTAATGCAGTTTAATACCTCCTTAATTATAATTATAACCCTTAATTATAAGGGTTCAGTGCTATTGGATCCTGAGGGTTGTAGTTTGGTGAGGCCCCAACACTCTGGCAGAGAAAGCGAAAGACCTTGTAAAACCACAACTCCCATGATTCAGTAGCACTGACCCATGACAGTTGAAGTGGTGTCAAACTATTAATTGTACAGTGTAGATACATCGTACGACTCTGGAGACCAGAATCTCCTTTTAAATTGTAGAATCAGATAACTGTTTGAGATTCCCAAGGGTCATCCAGTCCAATTTATTTATATTATATTTAATATTTATATATATTGTTATTTATATTGTTATTTAGAGATCATTAATGTAATACATAATACTACTAATAATATGATCTTATAATTATATATTTTATATTAAATGTAGTATTACTAATAATATTACAGTATAATGTTATAGGGGAGCCCCCGGTGGTGCAGTGGGTTAAAGCACTGAGCTGCTAAACTTGTTGACCGAAAGGTTGCAGGTTCGAATCTGGGGAGCGGTGTAAGCTTCCGCTGTCAGCCCCAGCTTCTGCCAACCTAGCAGTTCGAAAACATGCAAATGTGAGTAGATCAATAGGTACTGCTCCGGCGGGAAGGTAACGGCGCTCCATGCAGTCATGCTAGCCACATGACCTTGGAGGTGTCTACGGACAACACTGGCTCTTCGGCTTAGAAATTGAGATGAGCACCAACCCCCAGAGTTGGACACGACTGGACTTAATGTCAGGGGACAAACTTTACCTTTTATAATGTTATAGTACAATATAGTAATATATAATGTTAATATTGTGCTATGGTAATAATATAATATATTTTATTTACATTTTACTTGTAAGCCGCTCTGAGTCCCCTTCAGGGTGAGAAGGGCGGCATATAAATGTCGTAAATAAATAAAATAAATAAATAAATAAACTTGTTAATTCAGGGGGCAGGTGGATGGGGTTCCTACTTGGAACTTCTGTTCAATGTTTGCTGTTTTATCTTATGTCTGATATAACAGGCTGCGTTCTTTTATTTAATTTTAGTTGTCAAGTCATAATTGGTTGTTACATGTTGCATTGCCAAATTTCGGTACTATGGGTGTATTGTTGGTGTGTTCGGGCATTGAATGTTTGCCTTTTATGTTTGGAATCTTCCCTGAGTCCCTCCGGGAAGAGAGAGCAGAATATAAATAAAAGTTATTATTATTATTAATTGGAGTGCTATTTTAACTTAACCATATTATACATAGTACAAAAACAAACAATTTAAAAGAGGTACTTGATCCCCCCTCCCCCCAGATAATGATGTGTTGTTACATAGCAAATAGTTAATTTCATGATTTCTGCTTGTTTGCACATAAGTAAAATCACCCAAAATTGGAAATAGGTAGATGACTTGGTCTTTCATACATGGTTCCAAGGAGCTTTGATCTATGAGAAGCTGACCATAAATAATATATATAACAATAACAACGATAGTAACCTGATCATGAATATAAGGTGTAGTTGGCTCTATGCATCCCTGGATTCAACCATCCATGGCTTGAAAATATATATTTAAAAATCCATAAAGCAAAGATTAATTTTGCCATTTTATCTAAAGGGCACTATTCTCTCACATTGTTGTATTTAATAGAACTTAAACATGCACAGAATTGGGTCCTGGAACCAATAGTCCAGTTATGCAGAGGATACTGGCTGTGTTAGCATCCTATGAATCCCAGTAGTCTGTTGCTCTGGATAAAGATTGCTTAAGTTATATGGACTATGCCAATCCCACTGCATATAGTTGGACATTGCTTACAATATTTTTAATAACTGGTTTTAATGTTGAGATGTTTTTAACTTTTTTGGTTTTAATGTCATTAGTATTTAAACATCTTGTTAAGAGTTTGTTTTCTCTTTGGAATCGCAGGGTGTGACGGAGGTGCTGTGTGAAGCCTGTGATCAGTTGGGATGGAAGAGTCCAACAAAGATCCAAGTGGAATCTGTTCCACTTGCACTTCAAGGTGAGACTATTTATGGGAGTTTGAATTCGAAGGAGAGGCAAGGCTGATATATTTCTATTTATTTATTTATTTATTTATTTATTTTTACTATATTTATATACCGTCCCTTTCAGCCTGCAGGCAACTCAGGGCGGTCCATGTGTTACAAAGAAAAAGCATTCCACATTTTTTTCCTGCAATCTTTTGCAGCTCTAAGAATTTATCCTTGACAAGTGAATTATTTCTCTCAACTTGAACCGAAGAACTGAATTCTGGTCAGAAAGTGTGCTTTTTCTAATGTATTAGAAAGGGCAAGGTTTCTCTTACAAATGGTTTAGGCTCCCTTCTGGCTGTCCTTGTTATTTAGAGATCATTAATTCTTTTCATAAAAGCATAGAATCGGAGAGTTGGATGAGACCCCTAACCTAACCAATTCATCATAGGGCTTGACTTCCAGACCCTTGACCATTTTGGTCACCCTTCTCTGGGCACATTCCAGCTTGTCAATATTCTTCATGAATTGTGATGTCCAGAACTGGACACAGCAATCTAGGTGAGGTCGTGCCAAAGCAGAATAGAGTGGTAGTATTACTTTCCTTGGTCTCAACAGTCTAGACCAGTGTTCCTCCAGGTGTTTTGGACTTCAGCTCCCAGAAATCCCAGCCTATTTACCAGCTGTTAGGAATTGTGGGAGCTGAAGTTCAAAACATCTGGAGGAGCAGGGTTTGAGAAACACTGGTCTAGTGTCATGGATCTACTTCTTCATCTTCAAACAAACAGTACTGACATCTAGACAGTATTATTCCTATTATATCTAGATCTTGACACTATGCTATTATGTCTACATTTTCTAATCTGTCATGTGGGGAAAGGATATGGTTGAGAGCATGCTTATTGCCTAACTTCTCTGCCATATTCCTGCTGTGAACTCTGGCACCCTCTATACAGTAGAGGATAAAAATCTTGCTGAATTCACATAGATTCTTACTGTAGACTTTTGTCTTCAAGCGTGCGAAGAGTGACAGGGCACATGTGGAGAGGCTGGTGCCAGTGGACCTATGCACCCTTTCTCTTCACATTGTTCTGTTTGGGTGGTGCTTGCACATATAGTTAATGAGTTTTAGTCCCATTTCTTACCAAGCACTAACAGGAAGTGAACATTTAGCCACCATTGGAGAAAAATTTTTACATTTGCAAATTAGGGGTAACTGACACAGCTTTACAGCCCCATGAGCCTATATCTTGCTGAAACCAATTTTAAAATCACGAATAGAGGAGACTGCTGCTGCTATCTTTTCTTTCCACCAAAACTGGAGCTTAGAGGTAAAGGCTGTCCCCTGACATTAAGTCCTGTCATGTCTGACTCTGGGGTATGGTGCTCATCTCCATTTCTAAGCCGAAGAGCCGGCGTTGTCCATAGACACCTCCAAGGTCATGTGGCTGGCATGACTGCATGGCGCGCTGGGGCTTAAGATGCCTTAAAATTAGCCCAAACATAGAAAGGGTCAATATTAGCATGCTGTTAAACCAGTAGTTCTCCTAGCCAGTTTAGCAGCTGTTAGAATTTCTGGGAGTTGAAGGCCAAAAACATCTGGGGACCCCAGGTTGAGAACCACTGTATTAAACTATTAATAATATTGTATTATTATTGACTGTAACTTTTTTGTGCTGTCATGGATTCTGTTCTTTCTTATAGGCCGGGACATCATTGGCTTAGCAGAGACAGGATCTGGGAAAACAGGGGCGTTTGCATTGCCCATCCTGCAGGCCCTCCTAGAGACCCCTCAGCGCTTCTTTGCTTTGGTGCTTACACCAACCAGGGAGTTAGCCTTCCAGATTTCAGAGCAGTTTGAGGCTCTTGGATCGTCCATTGGTGTTCAGACTGGTGAGTATGTCTTCAGGGAAGCAGGAAATAAGCTGAATTTTGTCAGTCATGTAGAAGATGGAGCAGTTGCATGCTTTTAAAAAATCTTTAAAACAGGAGGGTCAAACTCATTTTCACCCAGGGCCACATCAGCCTTATGATTGCCTTCAAAGGGCCAGTTGTCATTCTAAAACCGTATAAATGTAACTTTCTCAAGCTTGCCATTTCTCTGCTTGTCACAGAATAAAAAAAGCTCTCTGCAGTTGGTATGCAAGCCAGGTGGACTGGTGCAGAAGGGATGGAATTATGTGCTTTGTCTTCCATCCCTAGTTTTCTGAAGCTACATACAAAATTAGCCTCACCTTGTGAAAGCAGAAGTTTCATAGTTTCCTTTAAAGACAGAGATTTCAAGAAGATGGGACTCACTTTCCCAACTGCTCCCTCAATGTGTTTTCAACAGTCCTTCACAGCATTAATTGGATTATGAGTGCAATGTAAATGCATACAGTTGACATTATTTTCCTCCTGTTTGGAAATGTTTTTAAAACGTTAGACATTATTTGTTTACTTTGCGTGAATTTTTAATGTCTTGCGTCTTCCCTTGGGATTTATGTTATTTGGATGTTTTGGGTGCAACTGGTCAGTCCATATGGCTCATTCACAAAATTTAACTAAATTTGACTAATGTTGGGTTCTTTTTAGAGCTTAAATAACACTGTAACATGATTCGGTCCTTGAGTTATAATTGTTAATTTCGAATTGGTTCTATCATAAAAATATGAGAAAAGTTTATTAAACCACAAAAAATGTTTTTGAGGGCATCCTACAACATTTTGCTATAGTTTTTCAATTAATATCTCAGAGGCCCAACCAATTTAACATAGTTTGTGGCAGCCACAAAAACAAAGTTTCTAGATTAGATTTTGGATTGTATGGTTTTAATAATAAGGTTTAGATTTTTTAAAACTTTTTGATTTTTAATGTAAATGTTTATTTTATTTGTATGTCTGTTTAAGCGGCATTGAATTGTTGCTTACTGTAAGCCACTCTGAGTCCCCTTCAAGGTGAGAATGGTGGAGCATAAATATAGTAAATACATAAATAAATAAGAAATAGGAATAACTAGTTTCAATGTAAATACTGCACATTGACTGGAACGGCAATTCGACTGACGAGACTGTTTTATTGTTTTAATGCTTGCTGATGTATTGTTTTAATTATGATTTATGTTTAATTGTGGTTTTACTATTGTAATTGTTTGTATTGGCATCGTATCAGTTCACAATGTAAGGCATTGAATTTTGCCATTATTTATGTGTAAATTGCTTTGAGTCCCCCCAGGGGTGAGAAAGGTGGTATATAAATACTATAAATAAATAGATAAATACAATACTGCATAATTAAACAGGAATTTAATTTTTTAATTGAATTTTTTACATAGTGTAATTTATCTTTTTGGGGCTACAACCACCCTCCATTCCACCGGGCATTGACCATGTTACCTGGAGGGTTCTGGGAGTTTTCTTCGAATGATAACATTTCTATGCTATACTTTTCATAATATTTATTTGAAACTTTTATCCCAGAACTGGAACACTCAGTGAAATGTTTCTTGACATCTAGATATAGTAATCCTGTTCCAAAACAGTGGTGAATCTTATATTGTGACTCTCTGTGTACTTAAAAATGAATTCTTACATTTAGGTTTGAGGGATGGAATTAATGAAGCCAGCAAATTGAATAGCCTTTTGTTTCCTGAAAGAATGGTGTCTGGGTGTGTGTGTGTGTAAAGGCCCATGTTTAGGGTGGGGTTGTGCGATGGCTAAGAAGTTGAATTAAAAGGGATCTGATTTATTTTTTCTTTTTTTCCTAAGCTGTGATCGTTGGAGGAATTGACATGATGGCTCAGTCTCTGGCCTTGGCTAAGAAGCCACACGTGATTATTGGTAAGAAACCAAATGACAGATTGAAATGTCATCATGAGACACTCTAATTGAAGGAGAACGAATGCATGGAGAAATTGTTAAGAAATTGTTTTCTAATATCTACAGAGATACTCGCAGGAACACCTCAGCAAGCGAGAGTCCAAAGGTGGGAGGCTAAAACTTGGAACCACAAACAGTGCCTGATACCGGATGAGAAGCTCCCTCCTCACACGCATCATCTGGTATCAGGCACTGTTTGCAGTGCATTGTCTATATCATCCAATAAGTGAGATTTCAGACAGGGTGACTTGGAAGGCGCTGAATAGACTGCACTCTATGATCTACACCCAGCTGGTATTACCTTCACCATGAAATGTGGAGCCAGTCTTAAGAAATGGGGCTACAAAGTTAAGTCCACAACATTTGATTGTGGAGAAGAACAAACCACAGGCCATTATACAATGCAGTTTGTGCCCTGCCACATACACAATGTACACATTACAGTGACACTAGAGGCAACTGAAGTGACCAGCTTCTGGTCAAAGGAAATTTAGCATTATGCCAAGCTTTTAATAGGCTTGTGGTTTTTAATGTATTATAATTGTATTCTCAATTTGCTTCTGACACAATAAATAAAAAATAAATAGACAATGCAATACAGCACTGTTCTTAGTATTCTCCTGCTGTATGGAGATCTGGTGGCCCTTCGAATTTTGTTTATGTGCAGTTCACACAATCCATCACAATTTGTCATACTGGCTAAATGAACTGCAATTCAGCATCATCTAGAGGGGAGTTTCTCAAACTACTTCAGATATTTTGGACTTCAGCTCTCACAATTCCTAACAGCTGGTAAGTTGGTTGGGATTTCTGGGAGCTGAAATCCAAAACACCTGGAGGAGGACAGTGTGAGGAACACCAATTGAGAGGATCACAAAAATGCCTACTTTATGTGCTTTAGTGGGAAAAATTCTAGGTTATGTCTGCTATTAATTATGCCTTTTCTGCCACTCTCTTCTCTTTGTAGCTACCCCTGGCCGCCTTATTGATCACCTTGAGAACACAAAGGGTTTCAACTTGAGAGCTCTGAAGTATCTGGTGATGGATGAAGCTGACCGTATCCTCAATATGGACTTTGAGACAGAGGTGAGCTCTGCTAATCTTGTCCATTTTAGAATTGGCCTTTGGAATTCCAAGGGCATGGTGTTTCCCTTAATGTGGTTCTCCCGTATTTGCTAGATGGCGTGATAACATAGGGCATTGCTTCTCTGATGTGGAGGACTAGAATGTAATTTTATTTATTTTGTGTCAAAAGAATTGCATAAATAAGTATAAAACTGATAAAATAGAGAGAGCACAAGTAGCTAAATAACTTTAAACCAAAGCAAGCAACAGCAACTGCACTGTCTGTAGCTTTAAACAGTTCTTCCTCTGTGCATGAGGCAGGGCATTCGCATAAGTATTTTTTTAAATTTCATTTGCATTCTCTAATCACAGGTAGACAAGATCCTGAAAGTAATTCCCAGAGACAGGAAGACATTTCTCTTTTCTGCTACAATGACTAAAAAGGTATGAGAGTGATTGGAATTTTGTACCTCATATTAATTCAGAAAGAGAAGAGGGACTTGGCAGAATAATTTTTCACCTCAGGGCAACATAAGTGTCTAGAACTTTCAATTTGATCTTTTCTCAGGTGCAAAAACTCCAACGGGCAGCTCTTAAGGACCCTGTTAAGTGCGCAGTTTCATCTAAGTACCAGACCGTTGAAAAACTTCAGCAGTACTATGTTTTTATTCCTTCAAAATTCAAGGTAAATGTTTCCTCCAGCTTGTTTCATACTCCAGTTGGATTTCTGCTGCTTCATTTGGGTCCTTTTTGGATTTGTTTCTCTTCATTCTCATTGTTTGTGAGCAACAATGCATTTTCTAATCCTCTTCAGGACAGTTACCTTGTTTATATTCTCAATGAACTTGCCGGGAACTCCTTCATGATATTCTGCAGCACGTGCAACAATACCCAGCGGACTGCTCTTCTTCTTCGCAATCTGGGCTTCACAGCCATCCCTCTCCATGGACAGATGAACCAGGTACATGCAAGGACATTTCTGGCATGCCATACCCAAGCTTGAAAAAGTTGCACTTGGGACTATGACTCCCAGAATTTCTCAGCATTGGCCATGCTGACTTAGGGATTTCTGCAATTGTACCCAAAAGTATTGCTTCTGGTTCTAAAGCAGGCCCACACAACCTGTGCCTCTCCAGGTGTTTTGGACTTCAGCTCCCAGAATTCCTGGACATTGAACAAGCTGGCTACGGCTTCAAGAATTGGACCAGGAGGGCCACAGGTTGTGCAGGCATGTTCTAAAGTATTGACTATATTTTAACTGCAACAGCTTCAATTGTGCAGTTTGCTCTTCTTTTAAGTAACAAAACTGTATTATGTCTAGAATGGTAGCATGCAGCCATTAGTAAATCACAAACATTTAACTAATTTCTGCTTTCCCAGGTTAAAAATCTGTAAAAGTGTGTTAACTTTCATAACTCCCACCCTGGACATTCTGCAGATATATAAACCCATTTTTCCTAGTTTCCAACAGACCTCATAACCTTTGAGGATGCCTGCCGTAGATGCAGACGAAACATCAGGAGATAATGCTTCTGGAATATGGCCATACCGCCCGGAAAACTTGCAGCAACCCAACTTTCATTTTCTTTTCTTTCCAGAATAAGAGACTAGGGTCACTGAACAAGTTCAAAGCCAAAGCACGTTCCGTTCTCTTGGCAACAGATGTTGCTAGCAGAGGCCTGGACATTCCCCATGTGGATGTAGTGATAAACTTTGACATTCCTACCCATTCCAAGGTGAGTTATTAAATCGTAGTGATGAATTTTTCTGCCTGTGGTTTTTAGTTTTGGAGCGCACAAGCAGGTACTGAAGCCAATGAAAAAATAAAGCCAAATATATAAGAATTACTTAGAGGTGAAGGATTTACACCCCCCCCCCCCCCCCCCCCCCCCCCCGGTGAACTTTCACTGAATGCTTTAAAACTGAGAAGAATAATGAGTGTGCCAACAAGAAACTGAGCTGGAAAGATGGAATTACAAGAATAGTTAATTCAGATAAAGCAGGTGTGAAACCAAATAGATGAACTTTCTGAACATGCGGCTTGGGAATGTTCCGGCATTAGTTTTTTTCTGTTTGATTCTGAAACTGGATCTACACTGCCATATAATGCAGTTTAAGAATGCAGTTTAACTGGATTGAACTGGATTATATGGCAGTGCAGACTCATATAATCCAGTTCAATTCAATTAAATTGCATCCCGAAACTGCATTATTTGATAGTGTGGAACCGGCCTCAGTTTAGGCAGGAGCATGTATTCAGTTTTAGGTGTGCTTGGGCTGCACTTGGTGAGACATTCTGAACAAAGAGTTCCACCTGTCTCCTCTTTTTATTTGTATATGCCTCCAAGTATATGGTGATTTTACCCTAGCATTTTTGTGGCAAGATTTATCTGGAGGCAGTTTCACATTTTCTTCTTCATGAACAACCCATGTTTTATCATGACTGAGTGGGAATTTGAACCCTGGTATTCTAGTTTGACACCTAAAGTATTAATGCCTTATTAATTTATTTACTTCATTTTTATACCGCTTTTCTCACCCGGGGGGGGGGGGGGACGGGGGGACCGGACGGACTCAAAGCAATTTCCAACACATTCATGGCAAAATTCAATGATTAACATACATACGAGAAACCTAACATGAAACAACAATAACATATAACTTTCAATCTATATAATAAAAATGTAATGTTCGTTTGTGGGATTAACGTAACTCAAAAACCACTCGACGAATTTACACCAAATTTGGACACAATACACCTATCAGGCCAACAAGTGACCATCACTCATTAGAATAAAATGAAAGATACAAACAAACTTGGGGAATAGTTCTCTCTACAGTATGCAGTCTATGAGCCTCATCACACTAGAGAAAAAATCCACTTAAAATCCTTTTTCTGCCTCCTGCAGAATTCTGGGGTTTGTAGTTTAGGGAGGAGCCTTTAACAACCTCACTAAACTACAAACCCCAGAATTCTGCTGGAGGCAGAAACCAGATTTAAAGTGATTTTTTTTCTCTAGTGTGATGAAGTAGTATATCATTAGAAAACTAAATAATTTAATTAGTTATCCCTCCTACCTCGAGCTTTTGGAGGAGCACTTATCCCTTTTCTGGATAAATTAGGCATTATGGAAACACACTGAACAAATAATCCAGAATGAGGAATCTTGAAGAAACTTTTAGTATCCCATCCACACCTTTCTCAGGTGATGCTGGTTTCACTGTGTTTTGCTGTATCCCATGTCTTGTGATATACTCTGTTTAGTTTTTCTTTTCCTTTCCAGGATTACATTCATAGGGTGGGAAGAACAGCTCGGGCTGGACGCTCTGGGAAATCAATCACCTTTGTCACACAGTAAGTAGTGCTCTGTGAAATTTCCACTGTGCTACTCTGGAGCATCTTCTGGAAGTTCTGGAGAGGGAGAAGTTTATAGGGATCCTCAGATGGCAAGTTGGGGATGATGCTAAGACAGTTATGAGACAGTAGTCCAGGTAAACTATCAGAAATGCAGATAATGTATTCCTATTGTCATCCTCCAGGTACGATGTTGAGCTTTTCCAGCGTATTGAGCACCTGATTGGCAAGAAGCTTCCTGCCTTCCCCACGCAAGAGGATGAAGTCATGATGCTGACAGAACGTGTGGCGGAAGCACAGAGATTTGCTCGCATGGTAAACCTATTTTCTAAGACTGCCAGGATGTGGGTCAGAATACAAACCCCTTTGAGCTTCATAGCACATGGATGCAATTGCAACATTAGCATTTACACTTAGAATTTCAGACAAAATTAAAGACCCATCTCTTTTGACAGGCCTACCTGGTCAGTTTAAAACTGTGACTTTTAAAGTGGCATTTTATTGGAATGGATGTTTAATGTGTTCTGTCTCCATGTCTTTTAATATACAAGTTTTTAATGGTTTTATGTTTTTATCAATGTATTTTAATGATGTTGTACCCTACCTTGTGACTTGAGGAGAGGCAGGAAAAAATAAAATGCATTATTATTATTGACAAACATCAGTGCTGTCAAATCTCATGCTAAAGCTGTTTTTCTAAAGAGAGGGGGTTCTCCAGATGTTGTTGGACTACAACTCCCATTAGCTTTAGATGGCAGAGACATGGATGTAGGGAATTTCTAACTTACAAGATCTATTCACCCCTGATTTTAAATAGTACAAGAAAACCTTTCTTTTTTGCTTTTGTAATCACAAAATACCACCAGTGCTGATGCGGCTTTTTAGCTTTCTCGTTAACAAACATGTTGGTCAAGTAACTTGTGCTAAGCTAAATAATTAAAATTCACAGTGCAGTTTTGTTTGTATAATGAATCATTTAATTGTTGGAACCCATTTCTGGATATTTAATTAGTTAAATAATTAATTAATTCCATTTATATCCTGTCTTGGTCCTAGTTCCAAGGAAGTTCACAATTCTAAACAGCTAAACCTGATAATAAAAAATAGACATCTATATATATAAATCTGTTAGGTTGGTTCAACGGCACAGCAAAACTCCACAACCCCCCAACGAAACTGCACAAAAATTGCCATGCCCATAACACAACCCACAAGGTACAAACATATCTACTCAAAATGAAAAACAACACAACAACACACTCACAAAACGGCAAAACAACAAAATTAAAAAAAAACCCCAACGAAACCTAACCAAAATTGCCATGCCCATAACACAACCCACAAGGTACAAACATATCTACTCAAAATGAAAAACAACACAACAACACACTCACAAAATGGCAAAACAACAAAACTCAAAAAAACCCCAACGAAACTTAACCAAAATTCCCATGCCCGTAACACAACCCACAAGGTACAAACATATCTACTCAAAATGAAAAACAACACAACAACACACTCGCAAAACGGCAAAACAACAAAACTAAAAAAAAAAACCCAACGAAACTTAACCAAAATTCCCATGCCCATAACACAACCCACAAGGTACAAACATATCTACTCAAAATGAAAAACAACACACTCACAAAACGGCAAAACAAAACTCTAAAAACCCTCAACAAAACTTAACCAAAATTCCCATGCCCATAACACAACCCACAAGGTACAAACATATCTACTCAAAATGAAAAACAACACAACAACACACTCACAAAACGGCAAAACAACAAAACTCAAAAAAACCCAACGAAACTTAACCAAAATTCCCATGCCCATAACACAACCCACAAGGTACAAACATATCTACTCAAAATGAAAAACAACACAACACTCACAAAACTCAAAAAAAACCAACGAAACTTAACCAAAATTCCCATGCCCGTAACACAACCCACAAGGTACAAACATATCTACTCAAAATGAAAAACAACACAACAACACACTCACAAAACTAAAAAAAAACCAACGAAACTTAACCAAAATTCCCATGCCCGTAACACAACCCACAAGGTACAAACATATCTACTCAAAATGAAAAACAACACAACAACACACTCACAAAACGGCAAAACAACAAAACTCAAAAAAACCCCAACGAAACTTAACCAAAATTCCCATGCCCATAACACAACCCACAAGGTACAAACATATCTACTCAAAATGAAAAACAACACAACAACACACTCACAAAACGGCAAAAATACTGAGCATGCGCATTGGCGCCCAGCCGCAAGTTCCCTGGCGCGTGCACACAGCCTTCCGGCCAATGTTCCCTCTGCGGAAGCCATGCCCACTCCAAGCCCCGCCGCGCCGCTTCCCGCACACACACACACACCCTGCCGCACACACACAACACGCTCCATCACTCCCCCCGCCGCCGCACACACACTTGCAACCCCACGCTCCATCACTCCCCCCCGCCGCCGCACACACACACACAACCCCACGCTCCATCACTCCCCCCGCCGCCGCACACACACACGCAACCCCACGCTCCATCACTCCCCGCCCCAATCTTAACTCCTTTTACTTCACGCCACCTCCAAACCCCACCCCTCCCCTTCCCGCCCTGTCAAAATCCAGGAAAGACAGGAAGGAAGGAAAGAAGGAAGAAAGAGAAAGGGAGGTAAAGAAAAAGGGGGAAGGAAGGAAAGTTAGAGAAAGAAGGAAGAAGAAAAAGAAAGAAAAGAAAAGGAAAGATGGAAGGAAAGAAAAGAGAGACAGAAAGAGAAAGAAAAAGGGAAGGAGGAAGAGGTAGAGATGGAAGAAAGAGAAGAGGGAGGAAAGAAAAAAGGAAGGAAGAAGAGAGAGGAAAGAAAAAGGGAAGGAAGGAGAAAGAGGAGGAAGGAGGAAGAAGAGAAAGAGGGAGGGAAAGAAAGGAGAAAAGACAGAAGGAAGACAAGAGAGACAGCAGAAGAGAAAGAAAAAGGGGGAAGGAAGGAAAGCGATAGAGAAGAAAGGAAGGAGAGAAGGAAAGACGGGAAGGAAGGAAGGACGGAAGGAAGGAAGGAAGGAGGAAAGAAAAAGGGGGAAGGAAGGAAAGTTAGAGAAGGAAGGAAGGAGAGAAGAAAAAAGGGAAAGAAGGAAGGAAAGAGGGAGCAAAGGAAGGGAGAAGATGTAGAGAAAGAGGGAGGGAAGGAAAGAAGGAAAGAGAGAAGGAAGAAAAGAGCAGAAGAGAAAGAAAAAGGGGGAAGGAGAGAAGGAAAGAAAAAGGAAGAAAGGAAGGAAAGAGGGGAAGGAAGGGGGAAGATGTAGAGAAAGAGGGAGGGAAGGAAAGAAGGAAAGAGAGAAGGAAGAAAAGAGACAGCAGAAGAGAAAGAAAAGGGGGAAGGAAGGAAAGAGATAGAGAAGGAAGAGGAGAAGGAAAGATGGGAGGGAAGGAAGGAAGGAAGGAGGGAAAGAAGGAGAGAAAGAGGGAAGGTTGGCCACAGCAACATGTGGCGGGTAAAGGTTGTTATTTCTATTATTATTCTTATTATTATGCTATTATTCCTATGAGACCCTGGGGGAATGGGAGAGGTGTCAGGTCCCAGAGGCAATGCATTGCATTATTGTTATTGTTATGATGGTGAAATAAAAGGAAATAAAAAGTGAAAGAAGGAAGCAAACAGGGAGGGAAGAAAGGCAAAGGAAGAAAGGGGGAGGGAATGAAGGAAAGAGAGAAGGATGAAACCAAGTAGTGAAAGAAGGAAAGAAAGAAAGAGGTAGAGAAGGAAGAAAGGAGAGAAGGGGGAGGAAAAGGGGGAAGGAATAGGTAGGTACCTCTCTTTCATAATAGTCCAGATATCTACCTCAACTTTGATAAGTTTTACTATAGGCCACAGCAACGTGTGGCAGGGCACAGCTAGTTGATTATAAAATGCTCATAGTTCTGCTGTGGTTTGTTGACTTGGGTGCCCATCTAGACAGGGCCGATAATGCAGGATCTCCCACAGTTTTACCAGAGGCATCCAAACAACATCTCCAGTAAAACCAAATTAATTCGAGACAAAGCAGGAAAACCTTGCTTTGTCCCAAATTAATTTGATACTCCATTAGACCCGGGTCTTCCTGAAAGTCCCAGATCTAATGGAGTATGAGCCCTATGGGGACAGACTCCTCGGTAGTCCTGGGACTACCGAGGGGTCAATCCACACAGCCTAATTTGCTTCTTTGGGCCTGGTGGGAACCCACCCCCTCCCCAAATCCCCCCCTAAAACCTTCAAAATAAAATTAAAACTTACTTGGCCGCCATTATGCTTTTTGGCATGGTTTTTGGAACATACGTATGTAGCACTAAGAGACCCCCCCCCCCCTCCGGTCTCTTAGCACTACATTGCTACATTCTAAAAACCAAGCCAAAAAGCATGATGGTGGCCAGGTAAGTTATTTTCTATTTTAAGGCCTTTTGGGGGGGGGGTGTCTTGGTGGAGGGCAACTAGACACCCCCCTGGGGAAAGCACGTGGTTTAGGGGGAGTTGTGTGGACTTAAACACATGCTTAAGTGAGTTTCTTAAACCCGCTTCGGCGTGCGTTTAAGTGCTATCTGAAAGCAGCCTGAGAAAGGAAGTTCAAGATAGGTGTGATTCAGAATTGCAATGGCCTTGCAATTGGCTTTTTGTGACTGAGGACTTTGTACAGGGATCTTTATTCTGGGTGAAGGCAGGAAGCATTGCCCCCTGAATTGCTTTTTGATTGTGGTAAAGGAAAGCCTGGCCATTCTGTATGTGATGTTATGGTAATTATATGTGTGGTGGCACCATAAATGCATTCCATGTTGTCTGAATTGATAAGCCAAGCAGAGACAGACCTGGTCAGTGTTTGGATGGGATAGAAGGCTGCCTGAAACCTTGGAAAAGTGCTTCTAATTTGGGCTGGTTGGGCCAGTTCCCGATTCAGTATAAGACAGTGCCCTGTGTTCCCTGATTGACTGGGATCAGTATGGTTTGGGAAAATACTGAGGAAAATGGGGTCAAAGTAACTGTTGAGTGGGGCATTGAAATAGCACGTATGATAACACTGTCTTCTGGTTTGTTACACCTCAGTCTGCCAAAAACCCACCTTTTATGTTGAAAATGTGGGTATTTTCATTTGAGAGTATTTTCCATAGTCTTCATTTGCAGTTCACTTTCAAATGAATGGCTGAAACCTGTCGTGGTGGTTGCAGTTATTAGTTTTTTTAGCTTTTGTAGTTTCTTGGTTGTCTTGAGTGGCTTAGAAGGGTCAATAATTCTCCCAATTTCTTGGCAGGAGTTGCAGCAAAAGGGGGAGAAGAAGCGCTCCCGAGAAGAGGCGAATGAACCTGATGATGCAGAAGGTGCTTTGGGTGTCAGGAACAAAGTTACTGGTGGGAAAAAGAAGAAAAGGAAACTCTGAGAAAAATAATTACACCAGACTTTATCTGCTCACGTTGTTTAAGTGACTTAGATTCTGGGAGTCATCCGTTCATCACCAATATCAGACCGAACTTTTTGTGCCTGCTCAAAAAGCAAGATGTTTCTTGCACCAACAGCACCTTGACAAATGTGACTGTCCAGTCTCCCAAATATAAACCAGAAATTATTTTATTGTCATCCTGGCATTCTGTGCCAAATCTTGCAGATGCCTCTTACTTCTACAGCCTGGAGTTCCTTTACCTACCAGAAGGTGGCAGCAGACAACAGGTTTTAAAGGCTTTTCTCTACAGTGGAATTGAATACAAAAGACTATTTCCAGCATGCTTCCAGCAAGTGATGAAGAGAGATTTCTACAAACCTTGTTTCTTGAAAAAAGAGAACTGTCAAAAATAAAAATAGCATATCATGCTGCTGTGAAGAATAAATATATTTGCTTTTTAAAAATTGCTTGATTTCTATATTATAGCTAATTATTTCTATATTATAGCTTTATACATCAAAACTACCTAAAAACCCATAATTAAGAAAAACAACAATTAAACACAACAAAACACAACCTTTGAACTGCTCATGCAATATAAAATATGACTTCCAGCTTTTTTCTTGGTGACAATAAACCCGTGTACCTAATTCAACTTCCCCATGAAACCCACAACTTTCTAACACTTTCCCTGAAATTCAAATCCTATTCCACCTATTAGATACTTTCCCTCTTTCCTCAAAAAGAAAAAATCCATAAGAGGTTTTCACTAAGATACATTTGACAAAGGACCTGGCAATTGAGTTTGTGTTTTTTTCAGAGTTGTGGCAGAGAAACTTGAGTAAGAGGAGAAGAATTTTAAATGTTTACTTATGCTTAAGCTAGCCATGCCATTCCCTTTTGTGACATTTACTGGTTTGTATGCTTCTTGACTCCTTTTAATGAACTCACATAGTCTTTTGCATGAAGCACACACACACAATAAATCCCCAAAACAAAGCAAGAAAGGAGGAACTTGCTGCATTCTTTTTTCTAGATTTAGGGTAATGTTTACATGACCTTTCCTTCCTCATTATCTCAGCCCTGAGGATGTTCTAATGGGAACCAACACTAAGAGGCAGTCTTTATCCAAACAAAATTGTCAGAATTGATTTCTGCTGACTTATTTCTCCTCAAACCAACTAGGCTGTTTTGGTAGAATAATTCTCAAACCCAACATTGGGCAATACTTATTTTAGACCCAATTATGTACAAGACTGCAGCCCCTGGTGGCACAGTGAGTTAAATCACTGAACTGCTGAACTTGCTGATAGAAAGGTCACAGGTTCGAATCTGGGGAGCAGTGTGAGCTCCTGCTGTTAACCTCTGCTTCTGCCAACCTAGCAGTTCGAAAACAAGCAAATGTAAATATTTCCTGAAATATGGACTGGTTGGATCTTCTCGCGGTCCAAGGCACTCTCAGAATTTTCCTCCAACACCACAGTTCAAAAGCATCTATCTTCCTCATCCATGGTCCAGCTCTCACATCCATAGGCTATTACAGGGAATACCATTGCTTTAACTATGCGGATGTTGCCAGTGTGATGTCTCTACTCTTTACTATTTTATAGAGATTGGTCATTGTTCTCCTCCCAAGAAGTAAGTGTCTTCTGATTTCCTGGCTGCAGTCTGCGTCTGCAGTAAGCTTTGCACCTAGAAATACAGTCTGTCACTGCCTCCACGTTTTCTCCCTCTGTTTGCCAGTTCAGGGTCTAATTAATGGAAAATGTTTACTTTCAGCTGAACATTCTAGGCTAGAGCAATATTGCAAAATCAATTAACAGGTTCAAGCCTGAACGCTGTTCATATGGTTCTCTGAAGAATCCATGGGTGTTGCAGAACTCGGAAAGCTGCTCAATGTCAGACGAAGACATTGATGACCAATGCTATTTTGCTGCCTGGGTCAAAGGAAATGATTGCCCCAGAAGATAATTGTACAGAGGTGACCAGATGGCAATTGAGTTTTACTTCTGCTAGCATTCCACACTGCACCTGGGAGCAGAAAACCAATGTGAGTAGTGCTGGAAGTCACTTATGCAACCATGCTCTGGTGTCATTCTCTGTCCTTAGCTTGTACCACCTAAGCTGACTGCCCTATTCTCTTCTCCATAACGCTAAGCTCTCTGAGAAACATTCATAAGCAATCTTTCAAGGCACTATTCGGCCTATCGGAGATTAGCTGGGAAAGGTAAACCAAAGTTATATTAGGCATTAAGCATGGGTCTTTGAATTCTGGCTGGTTAAGTCAAGAGTTTTGGCACTCCCAAATTGAGGGACCTGCTTTGATCAATTTCTGAGGCATTTCTTTCTTTTTTCCTCTCTAATACAGTGGTTCCCAACATTTTTTTGACCAGCGACCACTTTGACCAGGGACCACTTGACCAGGGGCCACTCTTCAACATTAGTACTAAAAGGGTTACAAACCGGTTTTTGGTCAACTTTAGGTTTGGTTAGGTTATTTGGGGTGCGAATTCAGAAAACTGCATTGGATAGACCACATCAGCTCTAGTTCCCGATACAGAACATATGCCATCTAGTAGTTGCCATCTGCTCACCCACAGAAAACCATATTTAATAATCTAGAGCTGATGTAGCCATAATCTTTTGTAGGTAGTCAGTCTCTCCCCTTCCAACATCCCCGTTGAAGGTTTCGCAAGGCCAGTCACTCTTGTTACTGCATGTTTTTGAGGCAAGGGTGTAGTAATGGTAAGGCTGCAGACCATATTTTCATTTTTGTGGACCAATGGTGGTCCATGGACCACAGGTTGGGAATCACTGCTCTAATAAAAACACTTTGCAAATTCCTGTTCTGCTCTGAAAGTTTGTCAAATCGAAAAAATATATTCTTGTATTGCTGGCTGTAGGTGCTTGAATGGATTAAAAGACCCCTCTCCATTTCTCAGTACCATACTTAAAACACCATGGAGGGGTTATTCTAACAGGAAGCCATTGTTACTCATGGCTTAAGTACAAACAGAACAAGAGTGAATAGGAAAAATGCTGAACCCGTTTAGCTCTCACAAAAGTTTAAATCTTGTCCAAAGTAATAACATATTTGTGGTAAAGAATTATGGCCTTTTGGATGAGTTTTGAAAAGTGATTAATGTTTTTTTATATTAATTTGAAGAAGGAGCAAAGCACGTGAAACAAAGTCATCTATCTATGCAACAACTAATGTATTTTAAACCTGCAGGTGTGGTTGAGAAGGTTTCTGCCCTGTTCTCTGTTTTATCTTTCAGTGAAATGTCATCCTCCCAGGCTGATCTGGCAACTTTCGTCTTCTTAAAAGGCACTGCAAAGCCAAGTTGTTACACCCACATTCTTTATATTGGCCCCACCTGGCAAAGGAAGGCACATTTCTGCTAAAAATATCATCTTCCGGCTCCTAGTTTCAGTGGTAAGAAATAGTTTCTACATTTGATAATGACACCAAGAATGATGCACATATAAACAGAACAGAGGTGCATGAGATGGCATACAAGACTTTCCGGTAGAGCCACTCAAACTCCTTGTGCCGTCAGATGCCTGTATTATAGGCAAATGCAGAAATAGCTTCACCCCGCTTGACAGAAGCCACTTAAGCTGAATTAAATGCATCACATGCTGGCAGAGATTCCCAACAGGTAACAGGTAATAGGAAATGTTTCAGAAGAAGACATAAATAGCTGCTGGTGACCTCAGTTGTGTTTCTGAGTTTAACAGAAGAAAACGAACAAGAACCAAACTGGCTCCAGAACATTAAAAGTTCAAGAACCATCAGTTTCATGGAGAATCCAAGTTTAAAAGATACTATACAAAAGCAAGAATGTAGCTTGTAGACCTTCAGGAACAAATTGTCTGAGAAACAGGGTAGTCATAGGAAATAGTTGCACACAAGCTGGCTTCTGTGAAAGACCTCAATCTCTCCTCCTCAACTCCACTTCTCCACAGCCCTAAAGTCTGGAGGAAGAAAACACCACAATTTCTATTTGTTTCAGAGGTGTGCTTGTTTCCTCCAACACTCCAATAATTTCAGAGGAAATGGTCATATTGAAAGGGGCATTAACTTTTTACATTATTTGGTCTCCCCATCGTCACTCATATGGATACTTGGGCTGGAAAAGAAAACCTTCCCAAGACCTAAAGAGGTTTTTTTTACCCCTACCTAAGCTAGATAAGAAGTTCTGTGAGTTTATAGGCAGCCATTCGTCAAGGAGAAAGAGACAAAGAAAGGAAGGAACATGAGTGGAAATGTATAGGTGTGAATGTGTGTGGTTTTGGCCTTACTCATCCTTGAAACCTACTCATAAAAGATATAATGATCAGGGTGAAAAGAACTCTACTCATGATTTGGCCAATGCACAACTCTATCTCAAGTTATTCTCTCTGAACTATGAAAACCACCAAGGACATTAAGATCATCCAGGGAGGTCCTGCTCTTGGTCCTACCACCTTTGCAGATGCGAATGGTGGGGGCAAGGGACAGGGCCTTTTCCGTGGTGGCTCCTTGGCTGTGGAACTCCCTCCCCATTGACATTAGATCTGCCTCCTCCCTTTTGGCCTTTCATAAAATACTGCGCCCCCGGTGGCGCAATGGGTTAAATCCCTGTGCCGGCAGGACTGAAGGTTCGAATGTGGGGAGAGGCGGATGAGCTCCCTCTACCAACTCCAGCTCCTCATGCGGGGACATGAGAGAAGCCTCCCACAAGGATGATAAAAACATCAAATCATTCAGGCGTCCCCTGGGAAACGTCCTTGCACACGGCCAATTCTCTCACACCAGAAGTGACTTGCAGTTTCTCAAGTCGCTCCTGACACGACAAAAAAATAATAATACTCAAAACCTGGCTGTGGGATCAAACATTTGAACAATAAATGGAATAACTGGGAAGATAATGTTTTAGTGACTGCAATGGACTGACCTGGACTATGATTTTGAATTGGTGAACTGTTTTTAAATTGAATGTTTATAATTTAATGTATTGTCGAAGGCTTTCATGGCTGGAATCACTGGGTTGTTGCAGGTTTTTCAGGCTGTATGGCCATGTCCTAGAAGCATTCTCTCCTGATGTTTCGCCTGCATCTGTGGCAAGCATCCTCAGAGGTTGACGTTTTTCCTCACAACCTCTGAGGATGCTTGCCACAGATGCAGGTGAAACATCAGGAGAGAATGCTTCTAGAACATGGCCATACAGCCCAAAAAACCTACAACAACCCAATGTTTATAATTGTTTTTAAATTTCAATTGTAACTGTGGTTTTTAATGTACTGTGTTGGCATCTATTTAATGTACTGTGTTGGCATCTGTTGTAAGCTGTCCTAAGTCCCTCTTTGGAGGTGAGAAAGACAAGATATAAATGCTCAAAACAAACAAACAAACAAACAAACAAACAGAATAAGAACAAATTGTAGATAGCTAGTGCAAACATAAGTTGCGTATTTGCTT